TACCATAGAGGGATTTGTTAGAAAGTGTAGGTACAACATTAAGTTGTACTATAGTGTATAGGTACAATTTTTAATTGTACCATAGAAGATTTTTAGGAAAGTGTAGGTACAACTTTAAGTTTAGTGTAAAGGTACAACTCTAGAAAGTGTAGGTACATCTTAATTCCACGGCTGTTATTTTGACAAAATGAGTCGTGCGAACGTTTGAGTGGCAGCTGTGTGTTTCAATTGAATGTGAGATTTTGACGGGCGTGACAATGTCAAGTAGTAGCCGTGAAATTTCCTGGGATAGTGAGAACTGCTCTTTGCATGTCACGGGACATCTCACGATCGTGATATTTGCCTGAGGAATGAAACACTGCTTTTTACATCTCACTTGAGTATTTTACGGTCGTGAGATTACCAGTATAAGGTGTCAGATTTCCAGTAGGAGACTTTCACCTGTGGAACATCTCACGGCTTATTCTCACGCCCGTTAGAATTAACAGATGAGCCGTGAGAAGTACAGCATTCAAATCCAAAACACGGGTCATCTCACGGCCGTGATACTGTCGAAGGCAACCCGTGAAAACCTCTGGGAAACTGAGAAGTGCGTTTTTACATCTCACGGCCTATCTCACGGCCTATCTCACGGCCGTGATATTTCCAGAATTACAAATCCAAAAACACGCCTTCTTTCACGGCCGTGGGATTTCCAGAATTGGCCGTGAGATTTCCAGAAATAGTTTGCATAGACATTCACCTGTAGAACTAACCCTTGTACTTATTATAATGGTGTAAGTAACATAATATACTGTTTGTGAAAACTACAAGCTTATGAAAAGATGAGTCATAATGTTCTTTGAAGCTTGACACGAGCATTACATAGATCCATTCACAATGTTCTCTAGTAACTGTCCATCATATCAGATGAGATATCCTGTTAACAAAAAGTAAAAAGCAGTCAAAGCATTACATTTGTCTTATAAAACAAGCATCCATAACACGATTAAATTTGTCTAATTAATGCTTAAGTTTTAGCCCACACTGGTGCATCATAATATTCTAATTGGAAAACATACAAGCACAAACGCAAACACACATAGCTAAGTACTAAGGACTTTGGTTGGCTCATCTTCACTGCCCATCTTTCTCGTTAGTGTTCTCGTCCTCGTCTTTGTTTTCCTGGATTTGCTCATCTTCATTGTCCTCGCTAGAGTCACTGCCGTCTTCCTCATTGGTCCCTTTGACCTCTTGATTTTTTTCCTTGTTTTGGTCATCGTCGTTGCCCTCGTCGTCCTCTTCACTGCTGTCTTCCTCATCGGTCCCTTTGACCTCTTGATTTTTTTCCTTGTTTTGGTCATCGCCATTGCCCTCGTCGTCGTCCTCTTCACTGCTGTCTTCCTCATCGGTCCCTTTGACCTCTTGATTTTTCTTCTTGTTTTGGTCATCGCCATTGCCCTCGTCGTCGTCCTCTTCACTGCTGTCTTCCTCATCGGTCCCTTTGTCCTCTTGATTTTTTTCCTTGTTTTGGTCATCGCCATTGCCCTCGTCGTCCTCTTCACTGCCCTCTTCCTCATTGGTGTCATTGTCCTCTTCACTGCTTTCCTTGTTTTGTTCCTCTCCTTTTCCTCTTGATTTTTTTCCTTGTTTTGGTCATCGCCATTGCCCTCGTCGTCGTCCTCTTCACTGCTGTCTTCCTCATCGGTCCCTTTTTCCTCTTGATTTTTTTCCTTGTTTTGCTCATCGCCATTGCCCTCGTCGTCCTCTTCACTGCCCTCTTCCTCATTGGTGTCATTGTCCTCTTCACTGCTTTCCTTGTTTTGTTCCTCTCCTTTGTCCTCTTGATTTTTTTCCTTGTTTTGCTCATCGTCATTACCCTCGTCATCCTCTTCACTTGCCTCTTCATTGCTTTCCTCGGTTGGCCTAGGAGATAGTTCCCAAGGTCTTGAGAATTGTTTGTAGTCAATCCTCAAGGACCTCATGATCTGATGGTTGCATTCGATGATGTAGCGTCGAGCTTCCTTCTCTCGATCGAGGCGGGAGAGAATGAGTGCATTTTGCTCCAGAATTTGGGCATTCTGCCGACCCAATGCCTCAAAATGGGATATGTAGCTGTCGGTGGATGGTCCGGCTTGAGTCGTAGTTTGGTGATGTTGTGCAGGTTGTTCCGGAGTCTCCTCGACCATTTGCTGAACAACATGCTCCGATGCGTTTGCCTCATCTGTTGCAAGAGGTCGAGCAGGATGAGGGAGGCCAACAATGCCTACCACACCATTCTCCTTAACCACCAAACACCCCGCTTTCATTACATTTCACCCAAAATGCAAATTCTCATGGCCGTGACATGACCCGTGACAAGCAAAGAGTAGTTTTCATATCTCCAGACAATCACACGGCTTATTCTCACGCCCGTGAGAATTTACAAAGGGGACGTGAGAATTTACAAAGGGGCCCGTGAGAATTTACAAAGGGGCCGTGAGATGTCCATCATCCATATCCAAAAACACGGCTCATCTCACGGCTGTGGTAATGACGACGCCAACCCGTGAAACTCTCTGGAACTCCCCCCTTTTTATGGAAACAATCTCACGGTACATCTCCCGGCCGTGAGATTTCAGTTATGAGGCGTGTTTTTGGATTTCAGCTGGGATTATCTCACGTCTTAGTCTCACGCCCCGTGAGAATTTACAGAGGGCCGTGAGATGTCCAGAATTACAAATCCAAAAACACGCCTGCTTTCACGGCCGTGGGATTTCCAGAATTGGCCGTGAGATTTCCAGAAATAGTCTGCACATACATTGACTATGAATTAACTCTATAAACAGCAAAAACCCTGAAAATAACTCGAACTCTAGTGGGATGTGGGAGATAAAAATTGACTATTAAGTAAACTCTACAAACCCATTCCTTACATCCCTAAAACCCAATCAAGACCAAAGAACTAAAGAAGCAAGCAGAACAACCCCAGCACAGTTATTCTCTTCAGTTTGAAAGCAAAGGCAACAACGAAATGAACAACCCCAGCACAGTTTATGGGATTATATAAACCAAGACAGCTTCCTAGTTGACACTGAATCCTCCATTCACAAATACCTCCTAGGTCACATCAACGATCTGTGTGAGGAATGAAGTTATATGGTGGATGGCCACAGCTATTTGCACAAAAAAGTGCAGACTTTCTGAAGCTTCATCAATTTCTGAAGCTTCATCAATCACGGAATGACTAAAGATGCCCCCATCTCAATCAAACTCGGCCGTGACAAAATACAGCACAACCAAGAACTACACTTGAGAGAGCTTCAATACTCATTGCACAAGACGTTAAAGCTAAAGAGATAGACAAACCAAATCACAGAAGAAGACACTGGAAAAGATGGAGCACATCAGAATTCCCACTTCACACAACTGATAAAACCGAGAGAGGGAAAGGAATATCGCATCTTATATCACCATATCCAATTGAGAATGCACATGAAGAAAGCAGTGGAGAAGCTTCAATTTCAATCCCAAATGGTTACACAGAATTGAGAAATTCTCTCTTCTACTTCCATAGTTCAATCTGGTAAAACGAGCATGGAATTTCAATCCTATGATTTGGCAACCGATCCTTAGTAAACAACTTGACATTTCCAGAGAAATAAGTCAGACATTCAAAGACACCATTATTGTACTCGAAGCTGCTCCAACAAATGCTCTAGAAGCTAGAAGCTAGAAATTGAATGTTTATCAAAGGGAGATAAGAATTTCATCCACTTACATCGAATGAATGACTGAGTCGTCGTTTCAAATCGGAAATCGAATGCTTTATCGCCCAATTCTCGCTATTGCAGGAGTTCTCCTACCCGGCGCTAGTTGACTCGTCGTTTTCGATTGGGCTTTTCGAGTCTTTGATTCCTTCTGAGTCTTCCTCTAGTAAAAGAGTCTCCGCCACCTTCAGAATTCAAGTCCTCTTTGTCGTCGCCACTGCTCACCCCCTTTACTATCTACGAACAGACCCACCGCGAAACACAATCCCAGGAGAGGAAAGTTGAAAAACGATCAGACCCACCGCAAAACACAATCCCAGGAGAGGAAAGTTAAAAAACGATCAGACCCACCGCACAATCTCACCGTTTCCGTCGCCGATGCTCAAGCCCTTCAATATCGACGAAGAGACCCACCGCGGAAGAGCACAGTTCACAATCGCGAAAGGGTAAAGTTGAAACCCCCCAATTTCTTTCTTCTCACAACGTCGCTGTCGCCCTAGATGCAGGTTCGCCGTCGCCGTCACACTATTTCAAATGCAGGTTCGCCGTCGCCGCGGAAGAGACGCTCTGAAATTCCACCTCGGAAGAGAAGCTCTGAATTCCGACGAGCTCTGAGTTTCAATTTTTTTTAAAATTATTGTGTAACGAACCGGTGCAACAGGTTACCAGTCCACAAGTGAAAAAAATAATATTTAAATAACTTCAATCCAATGGCTGATATTTTATAACAAGATCTAATAGCTCTAAGTATATTAAAGCATGGGTACTATATAGCATACTAAAATGCCTCCTTTGGAAATAATTTTTTCCAGTATATTAGAGTAAGTGAAAAAGTTGGACAGTATAATACTATCATTCAACCTTTAGTGGTTTGGGCAAACCTCAGCAGCGGGGCCAAATGGAGAGGAAAACCCACTTTGCTTGACCCAGCCACCCAGCAAAGCAAAAGAATATAATTTCAAAGTAGCCGTTGCGCCATTCCCCTCCGCTCTGGCAATGGCCTGTTGCTCACTCACTACTAATATTCCGAATATATAATTCTCTTTCCCCTCAAGAAATCCGTGCCTCCTCTCCTCCACCTTATTAAATTCTCAACTTCGCCAAGTTTCCTTGTTCCTTCCCTCCGCTCCTCCTCTCAATATTTATTTATTCATTCATTTCTTCTGGTTGAAAACTTCAAACCAATTTCCTGCCGAATTCTCAACAAGAAGCAGAGAAAACACACATTTCCCCCTCAAACAGATCTCAACCATGGTCGAACTCCACAAGATCATGAAATTCCGCTATGGAGAACCCACAAGCGCTTCTTCCTCCCCGTTGCTCTCCGAATCCGCTCGAAGCTTCCTTCAAATCTCCACCGCCAGTGCCGAAACCAGCAGCAGTGAGCTCAGCGACGACAGCCCTTCCCAATCTTTCCGGTTTGTTCCCAAAAGTGTCGATCGAGAAAACTTAGGCCCGTTCCCGTTCAAATCTCTATCTGGGTCGTTGTCGCACAGGTCTCTAGCGATTCTATCCGGCCACCTGGGCTCCGTTTCCTGCTTGGCTCTCTGCGGCGAGTTCATTCTGAGCGCCTCGCAGGGGAAAGACATCATAGTCTGGCAGCAGCCGGATTTGAGGATGTTTACCAAGTTTGGGCAGGGAGATGGATCCGTGAAGGCGTTGGTGACAGTTGGCAACAAAGTGTTCACGGCGCATCAGGACAGCAGGATTCGGGTGTGGAAAGTGTCGAGGAGCTCGGAGAATGTATTCAAGCTGCTCGACACAATGCCTACGAGAAAGGACTACCTGGGGAAGTTTATGAAGCAGAGCAATTACGTCCAAACGAGAAGGCACCACAGGAAGCTTTGGATTGAGCACGCCGACAGCATTTCCTGCTTGGCAGTCCACAGTGGGTTCATCTACTCTGGCTCCTGGGACAAGACCCTTAAGGTCTGGAGAGTATCCGATTTGAAGTGCTTGGAATCGATCAAAGCCCATGACGATGCCATTAATGGGCTGGCTGCCTATAAAGGGATGGTGTATTCGGCTTCAGCTGATGGAAAAATCAAAGCTTGGGGGATGGGAAGTAGTGGGAGGACAGTTACAAACTCAAATAATCCATTGTCATCGTCATCTCCTCCTCCTACTCATTCTTTGAAGGGGATTCTGGAGGGGCATAAGGATGTTTCGTTCAATTCAGTGATAGTTTCAGAGGATGGGAAGTGGGTTTATGGCGGGGGTTCGGATGGGTTTGTGATGGGATGGGAAGGGGAAGGGAATTTTGTGAGCTGGAAATTGGTGTGTGAGGTGAAAGCTCATGTGATGGCTGTTCTGTGTATGTGTATGGTGGGTGAGTTGGTGTTCAGCGGGTCGGCCGATAGGAGTATTGGGATATGGAAGAGGGAAGCTTTTGGGAAGCTGTTGAAAATTGGGATGATTTCGGGTCATGAAGGCCCTGTCAAATGCTTACAAGCTTCGAGCAGTAACGTTGGGGGTGGGTTTATGCTGTACAGTGGTGGACTCGACAAGAGCATTAGAGTCTGGTGGGTTCCCAGCCGGCAGCAGGAAACCTCTAAACCACAGCATGAGGAGAAGTCCCTAACTCTCTGACAAGGCAGTTGACACGAAAGCACTGATTGATTCAGAGATTTTTGGGTTCAGTGCTTTCAACTTTGTTGGTAGTTCAAGCTGTTGAGTTGATTATGTGTGGGGAGAGATTAGATGATAGGCAAAGATGTGATGACCTTTTGTTACTGTTCTGGGTTCTGGAAGCTCTGTTTGTATGTAGGGCAAGACTTGACACTTTTTTTTTCTTTCAATCATTTGGGGAGGGTGTTGTGGTTATTTACACGCGGGTTTCGGATTGTTTTTATTTGGTATCAGACTGTAATTACGTGTGGTTCAGCAGACTGTAATTGAACACCGAAGGAATGGGACTTTTTTCCAAAATATTGTGGAAATTTTAAAAAAATAAATCATACAATACATAACTTTTAAAAAAATTTCTCAAACACCAATGTTAGGCACAGTTCGAGTTTTCTGAACTCGAACTACAAACTGGATGGACGTTTAAAGACTCGATCAAGTTATAGATCGAGGGTTAGTAACTCGATCATATGTGGATCGATTGCAAGAAACTCGATCTAGTTAGATCGATGTTTCCAGACTCGATCTGCATGTTCATCAAGTTTGTCTGACTCGATCTAGTCTGACCGTGGTTCTATGACTCGATCCACATGAATTATTGCACGACGATTATTGGTGGCACTAGATCGAGGATTAAGGACCCGAACTGTACCTAGTTCGAGTTGCTTGAGGCTTGAACCACTTTTCAATTGTTCCGCCAAATCGTTTTCCATCCGACATGTTTCAGTATAGGGTGTAGAGATAAGATTTTTGGTCCTAGTGGATCAAGTCCTTTGCACTCGAACTGCCATAGTTCGATGGACACAACCTCGAACCACGTCAATTATTTACGAAAATAAAAACCAAACTCTCACACATTCTGGCAGCTCATATACTTCTATCTTCTTTCTTCCAAACACAAACTGCAGCAGCTAGAGCACCATAGCTGAGCAAAGAAAAAGCATTTCGGAGGTAAGTTATGATAATGTTGATGAATAAGCATTAGAATTTTGGATTAATTTAGTATTGTTTGAACTGTATGCAATGAGTTGTTTCTATAAAGTGCAGAAATGGGTAGAAAATTTTGAAAATTCGACCTATTGATTCGGTGGAATGGTCGAATTACATATTTTCAGACTAGTATTGATTACGAAGATGGTGAATCAAGTACTGCCCGGATTGAGAGCATATTTACTTGGCAAGTTCTCTGCCACAATTGTGCGGAACGATGTTACATAGGGGGTGAAGAGTATGCAAGATGACTTACCGTATGCCAGTTTACAAAGGATATGCACTTGTATATGACGGATCAATTCTGTCTAACGATGATGACATTAATATGATGGTGAGATTTATTGCAGAAGTATATTTCAAATTGTTGAAGGGTATGTCGAGACTAAAGATGTGAGCCAGTATGGTGGTGGGGGTTATACTGAACAAGGTGAAGGATCGGATGAAGTTTCCGATTCTGAAGATTTTGGAGGTCCAGATGATGTACTATGGTCAAGATATGAGGATCGAACTGAATCTAGTCCATTGGTTGAACATGATGGACATGAGTGGCTAGTATGGGGTGAAGAATGGGATAACATAAGGGCGCCTAGACAGGCACCCAAACAAGCATCTAGCATCAACAATGATCCATATGTGGATAAACCAAGTCCTTCGTACACTAGCAAGGCAAGTGATATGGAAGAGGAAGATTTAGAATCAATGAGTAGTTTAGATGGTGAAGATGCGGAAGTTGATGAGGGGGAATTTGAGCCCCCACACCTAACTACACGATGGTGCCACAACATCCTCTCTATGCTCATAATGACGATCCTGACCTCCCTCCTATACCCATCTGGACTCCTGATTCGGGGTTTGTGGTTGGTTAAACATTTGGGGGAAAGTCTTAGGTGGTCGATGTATTGAAAGAAACTGCGATGCGAAAGAGCTTTCAATATCTTGTCATCACTTCTGACACTTAACAAATTCATATTTGTTAGTCCAAACTACAAGAATCCATACGTGGTGAGAGTTTGAGAAGGGTCGTTCATACCCTTAGCTCATGAAGCGTATTGGCCCCATTATGATGTACCTGTAGTATACCCTCCCGAGCACATGATGCATACCAAAGGTCAAGCTAGGGTTAACCGGATTGAAAATGAGATGGATAGATTAAGGAGATAGCGACGTGGCCCGAAGAAGTGCTCTGCATGCCGAGTTGAAGGGCATGATAGGCGCTAGTGTCCAGGGCCAGCAATTGACAATTGAAAGTTTATGTTGTAATTTGAATTTTATGTTCTAGTTTGAGGACTTAAAGCTATAGTCTTTGGATTTTATGTTTTAATTTGAAGTTTAAGTTGTTATTTGAGGACTAGATATTAAGGAAACTAATGTAACTGAAAACATACGGACAACTCTAGAAAATTAGAACAACTCGAACATACGGGCAAACCCTAGAAAATAGGACAACTCGAACATACGGACAAACTCTAGAAAGTATAACAACTCGAACATACAGACAAACTCTAGAAAATTAGAACAACTCGAACATGCGGACTAACTCTAGAAAATCAGAACAACTCTAGAAATCACTCTGCTCGCTCTTGTGCACCACGTCCGCATCCCTCTCTTCGAGCTCTATTCCTTGCACGAGCTCCATGGCCAATTGGAGTATGTCGAGGCAGTGGAGGTGGGTTTGCAGTGGCTGGAGGAGAGTAGTAGACATGGCCAATCGAAGGTTGGAAGCTTTGTTGTGGGGTTTGGAATTGAGGGTCAACATTGGGATATCCATAATATGGGGGGAGCATAGTTGGCTCCTCCTCCCTCTTGTTGAGCCGGAATTGATGATCCCTCTCCGAATTCCCTTCTGGCGTGTGTGTGTGTGTGGGGGGGGGGGGATCCAAACTCATATGGGTTAGGAAGTACCACATCTTCTAGTACTTGCACAGGGACTCTAACTGGCTCTTGCCGACGTTTACTCCTCCTTGGTGGCGATGGCGGGAGAGATTCAACTTCAATGGGATGGGAGGAAGGACGTGGCGGTGCAGGTGTGAGGTGGATATGCAATGACATCCCTTTGAATTTCCCGCAAACATGATATGAGATTCTTGAAGAGCTTCTTCAAGAATGAAAATTTCTCAGGCCTCAAAGTTGGTTCTGGTTCACTCTCCAGAGTCAATGACGCACGTTCCAACCAATCAACCTAGTTAATAAACACGTTAGTCAAATACTCTTTGTGTGGCTAAAGTATATAAGGTGAATATATATATATATATGCTTACCAACGAACCGATCACGACACACGTTTAGTTGCCCATCTTTTGTGAACTTGCGGTACGAAATCGTGTATTCATCTTGGTAACCCATTGGCCTCGTCATTGGCATGCCATCAATTGTAAACGTATGACGAGACTCCCACATACCAATCCATCTATGGTGCTTGGTGGCCAATCGCAGACTGTACCCCGCAAATCATTGTTGTATTTGTGGAGTGACTTATGTGCGTCCGGTTGTGGAAGAGGAATCGGCTGCGACCAATTATACTGTCAGACACATCTATTCGGGAGGTACCAGTCAACAATATTGTGGCAAGTCACAGACAACTTGCACGACCAGAGTCGATGATCCTCAGGGTATCACAACTCGTACATCTCCTTTGATCCGTTCGGATAGGGATCCCACCCCACCTAAGTTTCAACAAATAATTAAGGCCCATACCAATAATTTCAACATATAAAATAGCATTCATATTCAATAAATAATTAAGGTCCAAACAAATAATTTCAATAAATAAAATAGCATTCATATTCATAAAAATAAATTAATGACCAAAACAAATAATTTCAACAAATAAAATAGCATTCATATTCATAAAAATAAATTAATGGCCAATAGAAATAATTTTCAACAAATAAAATAGCATTCATATTCACAAAAATAAATTAATGGCCAAGACAAATAATTTAAACAAATAAAATAGCATTCATAAACTAGAATGTTACCTCGTTGAACTTTATACTATCAAGATGTTGGCGGTACCCAACTAGGGAATGTATCGTGATAGCACCAATCCATTTAGCACCATAAGACGCTTATCGTAGTGGCTGTTCGGCACCCCAAATTTTGACAGGGCATATCGTAGCGAGAGTTGGAAGGTGCTCCCAAACTCATGGTTGGAGGATGAACATCGCACCACCCGCTTGCTTTGATTTCGAGCCTGTACACGTGCATAGCTTCGCATATATCATTGCCAAACAAGCAGATATCCATCTGATAGCATCGTATTTGCACATGTTCTCACTCTTGTTTCCTGTCCATTTTAGCTCGAATTGATTGTTCCTTGGCCTATTTTACGCTAGGTTGTGTTGTTTTGTCGTATTTCAGGTCCTAGCAAGTAAAGAGGTGCATAGGCGCAAGTTTCGGGTCATTTGGAGGTCAGGTGGCGATTCACAGAACAAATTACGGGCAGCCCCTGCAAAATTACGGGCGTAATTGGTCCAGGCATGCCCGTAAAAACAATGCCAAGCCTATTTTCCCCAGAATTCCTCTCGGCAGTAAAATTACGGGCAAGCATCCACCAAATTACGACCATAATTAATTAACTAATGGCGGTAATTGTGAAATTACGGGCGTAACTCCTCCCCCATCAGAGTAAAGTGAAACGCGCGTTTTGGGCGATTTACGGGCAGACCGTGATTACGATCGTAATTCTGCCCGTATTTCGCCCATAATCGGGTTTTTGGAGGCAGATTCGAGCCATGGAAGAGGATTGGAGTTTTTAGAGCAAAAACAGAGTTTTAGAGAGAGAGAGAGAGAGCGAAGAACAAACCCTATGAGCTATTTGGAGTGGATTTCTCACCATTGAAGCCGAGATTGCGTCCCCAGGAGTGAAGATTAACATCCCAGAGCAGATTTTCCTCATCTTTATGAGTATGACTACTCTGATTACTGTTTTCTTCTCTCTCTCTATGGAGTAGAACCCTTCTCTCACTTGG